CCCAAATGCTGCTTTATGCCCTCGATCCACCACCCCAGCTTTGACAATTTAGGCATCTTTCCACTTTTCCTGCAGCAGCGTCACTACATAAGGACCCACAGAAGTGCCCAAACACCAGCATAAGGTCTCACCCTGGCCAAGAGCTGAGCATCCCCATTTTACCCCCAAAACTTATGATATACTCTGGTGAACCAGAAAAAATAACTGTGAATAAACCCACTAACAGTAGGAACGCAGGTGAGCAATTCTGGTTTATATTTAGTGACTAGCCTGAAAAATCAGAAAAGAAGGTTGCTAATGAAAACCCTTCTCTGAAAAAAAAAAACATTCATTTGACAAAAAACTTTTGGGAGGTTTTGTGTAGCAATCTCCTTTTGAGGTTCTGGTTATTTTTATCATTATAAGGTTAAAATGTGCCATTTTAATAAGAAAGGATTTATTGCCAACGTGAGTCACTGATATAATTGGAGCCTTAATTTGCACACCTTCCCCCAGGGCAAGGGAGGCTCAGGTTGGGCTGTAGGTTATGAGGAACCATTTCATACTATATTAATGGTGCCACGGTGCCCAGGGGTGGAAAGGGACCAGTGCCCAAGGTGCCCATAAATAGGAATAAGCTGGGGTGGGCAGGAGCGGGCTGGAAACCTCCCTGCAGATGGGTGTACATGTGTCCCCTCACCTCCTTTTGTGTCCCCAGATCCAGTGGCCCAGTGTGGCTCAAACTCCTGATGCCACCAGCCCTGGGCATTGCCCTCCTGGAAGGGAATTGTACATGGAAGGGAAGAGCACAGTGCTTGTGAGCAAACCTCCCACTCCAAACCGAGCCTGGAGCAGGGTTTTTTTTTATGTAATTAAAATCTCTACTGGCCAGACCCCCAAAAAGGAGAAAGCTTTGTGCAGGGTCTGGTGGCAAGTGATGTGTCCAGCTCTTACAGACTTCCCTGGGCAAGAACAAGTCCTCCAAGGTGCCCTGGGAGAGGCGCTGCTCCAGAATGGATATCCCAGCACTGATGGAAGTGGGGACCTGCTGGGTGGCCTTGTAGGAGGTGTACTTGGTGGTGGTGTCCTTCGTGGCACAGGAGGGCTGCTGGGAGATGGCAGCCTGCTCGGCATCCTCGGGAAAGGTGGCTTGGACAGCACCATCCAGGGGCTCACCAGGTAAGGACAGCACCTTCCGCATGCCTTGCAGGGGAACAACCTCAGTGCTGTTTTGGGGGAGCAGTGGTGGGGCTTCGGTAGATGCTCGGGTCTGGTTTGGAGCCGATGCTTTGAGAGAAACGAGATAAAAAGCTGCCTGGTAATCCTGCATTGCAAAAGAGCCTCCTGAGCCGCCCAGGGAAGGGCAGAGCAGGTGGAAGCGCAGAAGTGTTTGCCCATAGAGGGTGCACAAGCTGCGCGCTGGTGGCTGCTGCCGAACCGACACTCCCGCCCGCAGCCCACACGTTTAACTCTGCTTTGAAGCCCAGCAGAAGCAGAAAAAAAACCGATAAAGCAAAAGAGCTGAGCTTCTGACAAAACTGGAAAATAACTAAGACAGGGAAATAACTGAGAAAACTTGGTATCTTTTGCCATTTCTGGTCTAACCGGTCTCTGACTTGCCCACCTCCTCAGTGTGGCTGTGTGTGAGCAGTGGGGCTCAGAGATGTCACTCTCAGTGTCCCCCTCGCTGTCCCTGCAGGCTGAGGATCGTGGAGCTGATGCTGCCCAGGGTGCCCCTGAGCTCCTGCCTGGCACTGGCACCCACCTCAACCTCTACACCCAGGTGGACCTCAATGGCAAGAGGTGGATCGGGCTGGGGATGGAGCTGCTGGTGGCAGTGCCAGCCATGTGCTGGGACCAGGGGAAGAACCTTCCTGGGGGGTTTCTCACAGGGGGACACCGCTCCTGTCCCCCCAGGAGGAGGCTGTTGCTCTGAAGGTCGCTCCCCTCCCCCTGTGTAGCCTCTTGGGTTTGCCCGACATTTCCATGGAGGGGAACATCCCAGCAAGGGTCAGGATGGTCAGCACAGACTACCCCGACCTGGTGACAGAAAGATGTGACACGGTCCTTGGTGGCATTAAAATCAGACTCCTGAGCGATGGTGGTGTCCTCCTCTGCCAACCCCACCCTGCAAATGCCAAACACATGAAGGCACTTCCCTGTTATACATCTCCATCCCTCCATCCCTGCAGGTGATGGCCACCCACTGGCCGTGTCGTGGGGCTGAACGAAGGGCTGGTGGTCTCTGTGAGCCCCTCACACGGCCACAGTGAACGGATGAGCTCTCCCAGAAGTCCCGTGGGACAGTTCTGTCCCATGTGCCACGGACACGGGTCATTTTAACTGACATAGCGTGGGGTCTCTGAGACGTAAGCACGTGGTGTGTACATTGTAGGATCCACTCGGGCTGAGGTTGTTTCTGCTCATTTAAGGAGACTATACACTAGTAGATAAAAGGCAGCAATAAATTTCCCACTGGCTATTTTGGGATGCAAATTACAGTTATCTCATGCAAAATCCAAGCTGAAACGATTCACTTTGCTGCTGCAATTGCCTTGCTCCGGGAGGTCTGTGCTCGGCGCTATTCACAGGGAATTGTTTAACAAGACCCATTTACTTTGCAGCAGGTTGTTTTCATGGTGCTTCTTTATTTTTCCACAGCCTGCTCCCTATTGTGGATAATTTATTGGCAAGTGTCCTGAACAGACTTCTTCCTAATCTGGTAAATCAGAAAAAAAACCACCCTATTCTGGGAAGAAATGATGAGTCTGAAAAGCTGCAGTGCAGCTCCCCATGGCATCACTGATGCTCAGAGCAGGAGCACAGCCACTGTTTCAGGGCTGCTGCATCCACCCATCCAATGGTTTGGGATTAGTGTGGGACACATAACCTGTCTGCAACAGCTTGGGAGAAGTTTGTCCCTCCTTCTCAACACGAGGTCCGCCCAAGTGCTGGGAGTTCCTAATGGTGCTCCATTATGGACTAATGGAGTCTCTCCTCCCTCACGAAAGCCACAGGGTCTTTCTAGCCATCCCCCATGGGACTCCTGGGCCCCAATCCCAACCCCACTTCTCTAGGGAAGGGCACAGTGCCCAGGGACATACCCAGAGCTGGTGGAGTCCCTGTCGGGGCTGCCATTCCACGTGCCTGGTGCTCCCGTGCCCAGGGGAAGCCCTGCAGAGCCAAATGGGGCTGAGTGTCCTTGTCTGGCTCTGAACATGGGTTCTCACCATCCCACCCTGATTCCTGCAGCTCTGCCTTGTGGTTGACATCACCCTGGGACTTGTCAATGACCAGCTGGGACTTGTCCTGCCCTGCACCACGTGTCACCTCCGCTCCAGCTGCAGGAGGAATGGGACACCCTTCACTCTGCTGCTGCACCTTGTGGGGGAAAGAGCAAACCCCTCACTTCGCCCTGCTCCCAGATCTGCCCCGTGCCAGCAGCAGGGACCCCAAGCAACTCCCTGCCCAGAGCACAACCTGCAAACCAGGGCTCTCCTGGAGGAAAAGGAGCTGCTGGGCAATGAAGGGAGGATTTGCAGATGACTCCAACGGGGAAACACTGACACTCCCTTCCTCTCTTCCCAGCACTGGTGCCCCTGGGTTTGCTGGGCAGCATCCAGTACACTGTGTCCAGCCTTCCCCTGGTAATCAGCCAGTTCCTCAAGGTGGACTTGAACGTGAGTCCTGCATTTTCTCCTTCCATCTGTGCACAGGGGGTGGGGTGCTCTCACCACTGTCATGGGAGAGCGCAGCAGGGCTTGGGTTTCATGAAGTTCTGGAGAAGGAAGTGTCACGGGCCTGACCTGGCGAGGCCGTGCATGCAGCCATTTCTCACCGAGGGAATATGAAGTTAACCATATCAGCAAATATTGCAAACATTTTGACCTGTGTTTCCTTGGCTCACAGTCACCACCATGCTCAGGGGATGCTCTGGAGTCTGCAGAGAGGAGAGGGGAGGGAAAGAGGAGTCACAGATCTCTACCTCTGCCTGGCTGCCCCGGACTGGAACTGGTGCTGTTGGTAGAGCCCATCACCATCCACACCGTGGCCAGACCAGCACCTGAGACACTCCTGGCCCCATTGACTGCCCTCAGGGGGAACTGCAGTGGGGCTGGGTGTGCAGGAGGATTTGTTGCTGGGGGTTGTTGTGTGCCAGCACGCTCCTGCTCTGCTCTGGGTCCCGCTGGGGGAGCAAATCAATAGAGAACCTGTGTGTCTGTGAGCAGCAACAGCTGCTTGAGCCACAGCCCATACCCTGGCCACAGCCATGGCCATGTTGAGGAGCCACATGGCATTGGGCTGGATGGGGCCTGATCCAGAGCATCCCCTGCCCAGGGATATGAGCCCCTGCCCAGCACTCAGAGGCTGCCTGGCTTCGACCTCAGTCCTGCCACATCTGCCCAGGCATGCACAGGGTGTAGGACGGGAGGAGCCCTTGGAGCAGGATGGTAGCGAACCTGGAGAGCCAGTGGGCACTGCACCCAGCCCCAGGCGAGGGGTTGAGCTGCCAGGCTGGCTGGATGCTGCTGACCACAGCCTGGCACTGCTACATGCAGCACTCGGGGTCAAGGTGGTGCAGGAGTCACACTTCACAGCCAGCAAAGAGGAAATGTCCCCACTCCATCCTTCCCTGGGCTTTCCTCATTCCTCACCTCGGGTATATAAAAGCCA